TGTTCTGGAAGAAGCTGGTAAAACATTTCAGTGTGTGTCTGTGAGAATGTTCTGGAAGAGATGAACATTTGAATTGGTAGGGTGAGTAAAGAAGGTGGACCTCAACAGTGTGGGAAGGAATCATCCAATTCCTTGAGGGTCCCAATATAGCAAAAAAATAAAGAAAGAATGAATTTACTATCTTTTCTTGACCTGTGACATGTATATTCTCTCCTCAGACAGTCCTCAGGCATCATCACACCTGATTCTTAGACATTCAGACTTGCACTGAGACTTGCAAACTTGGCCCTGCAGTTCTCAGGCCTTCTGATAGGGACTGTGACTTGCACCACTGGCCCTAGTTCTCAGGCCTTTGGGCTTGGATTGGAACTATACCACTGTCTTTCCTGAGCCTCCAGGCTGCAGAGAGCATGTTATGAAACTTCTCAGTTTCTGCAATTGTGTGAGCCAATCCCTCATAATAAGTATCTTTCTATCTCTCGCTGTAAATGTATCTTGTTGGTTCTGTTTCTCTGGAAAACACCGTCTATTACAGGAATCCTCAACCATCGCTGTTGGGAAAGTAAAATGTGCAGCTGCTTTGAAAAAGTTTGGCAGTTGCTCAAAAAGGGCCCTGTTAACCAGAATATTTGTTTATAGTTTATCCTCTAGTGGATGACAGTCTGTAGTTATTTAGAAAAATCATCTGGCTTCAATCACAGGTGCTGCAGAGCTCAGGAATCTGCTGCAGCCAACTTACCACTAGAAGAGCTCTCCTTGCAGGTGGTTTGATCTCAGTTCTCTCCCAAGAATAGCTCTATCCTTTAATCTGAAAGAACATCTGTTCATGTCCAGGCGGGAAATAGGCCTTTTTGTGTCTCTGATCTCATCCAAATTACTGTAGGTTTGGGCTATTTGGACTAGTTTTGTGTGTCTCTGATCTACATCTGTTCATGTCCAGGCGGGAAATAGGCCTTTGTGTGTCTCTGATCTCATCCAAATTACTGTAGGTTTGGGCTATTTGGACTAGTACAGTTTACAGAACAAAGTCTACTGAATGTGCAATAGTGTTACAGAAATGAGCCAAATAGGTCTTCTGCGTAGTAGTCCCTGTGTTGTTTACTTCTGCACAGCAGGTTTATTTCTGAATGATCTGTGCCAAAATCAAATTTTGCACATTTAATTATTTCAAAACAGCCCAAAGATGCAGATTTTTTTAGACATTTAGAAAATGCTTGCCTTGCATGTCTAGGAAATCTCACCCACATAAGCCAGCAATAGATACACCCCCAACTTATGAAAATCCCCAATACTACTGCCCTTTGAAACTGTCTGACCCAGTGCGCTGCTGTGTGACTTCATGTAAACACATAAATAACTTCTCCAGTGCCTTCTCCCCCTCTGAGTAGCAACCTGGTACCTCAGCCTCTGGAAAGAGTCCTGCTGTGAGGGACTCCTCCCTGCAAACTTGTGAAAGCATCTCCAATAAAAGTTGTGTGTACTACTGCATTTATTTTTCCTTGATCAGCTCCCAGATTCCTCACACCCCTCTATTGTGTCACTCTCTCCATCCCACAAACACTGACCCCAGCATAAGGTATGCAAGCAATTCCATATCCAAGATTGTATCCCAAGTCATACAGACAATATGCATTCTTTCAATTTTATCAGCCCCAAACAGCATCAGGCAAAGGAGACAACTGGAATAAAACCCACCTATCTAAGTCTTTTCCCATTCTGTTGACTATGGTCAAGATTAGAGATGCACAGAGGTCTGCTCCCCACCTATTCCACATGGAAGTTCTTATATCCCCTTGTCTGTGTCCAGTGTGGAGTGACCAGCTTTGGCTGCTCTTGGTGAAGTCTTGGAGTAATGTGTTAACACATGGGAGAGACAGATCCTGTTTATTATTAGAAATATTATTCTTTGTCTACAAATAGGATAGGAAAACTAAAATGACTTTTTAATTTAACCAAATAATATTTTTCACAAGATTTTACATTTTCTAGACACATAAATGCAACTGATTGAGATAAAACAAGAACAAAGTCTACAGAATGTGCAATAGTGTTACAAAAATTAGCCAAAGATGTCTTCTGCGTACTAGTCCCTGTGATGTTTACTTCTGCACAGCAGGTTTATTTCCAAATGATCTGTGCCAAAATCAAATTTTGCACATTTAATTATTTCAAAACAGCCCAAAGATGCAGATTTTTTTAGACATTTAGAAAATTCTTGCCTTGCATGTCCAGGAAATCTCACCCACATAAGCCAGCAATAGATACACCCCCAGCTTGTGAAAATCGCAAATACTACTGCCCTTTGAAGCTGTCTGACCCACTGGGGTTCTATGTGACATCATGTAGATACATAACGTCCTTCCCCAGTACCTTCTCCCCCTCTGGGCAGCAACCTGGCACCTTAGTCTCTGGAAAGAGTCCTGCTGTGAGGGACTTCTCCCTGCAAACTTGTGAAAGCATCTCCAATAAAAGTTGTGTGTACTACTGTATTTATTTTTCCTTGATCAGTTCCCAGATTCCTCACACCCCTCTATTGTATCACTCTCTCCATCCCACAAACACTGACTCCAGCATAAGGTATGCAAGCAATTCCATATCCAAGATTGTATCCCAAGTCATACAGACAATATGAATTCTTTCAATTTTATCAACCCCAAATAGCATCAGGCAAAGGAGACACAACTGGAATAAAACCCACCTATCTAAGTCCTTTCCCATTCTGTTGACTGTGGTCAAGATTAGAGACACACAGAGGTCTGCTCCCCACCTGTTCCACATGGAAGTTCTTCTCCCATCCCCTTGTCTACATCCAGTGTGAAGTTGACCAGCTTTGGCTGCTCTTGGTGAAGTCTTGGAGTAATGTGTTAACACATGGGAGAGACAGATCCTGTTTAGAATTAGAAATATTATTCTTTGTTTGCA